TGATTAGTTTTTAGATAAGGCAGGTCAAGCCGTCTCGAAGGTACGAGGCAAAAGGTGCCAAAAACGGTAACTCAGTTTCTAAGAGAACGGAGCATCCGATTTTAATGATTCTAAAGACAGGTCTTTTGAAAAGGCAGGTCTAGCAGTTTCGGGGATCTAGTAAAAATACAAAAAATGACATTTGGCGGTCAAAAATGATAATTAGACATATGCACATCAAATTATCAGGTATTTTATAGATATTTTAATCATGTGTATAAATTTTGTTTGCATTCCTATGGGTTCCGTAACATCGTTTGTCCGTTAGACAGCGACGTGGCGCTTAGGCGCTTAGATATTTCGTCTCTGTGCAGCTGAAGCAGCGCAATTTCGAAAATAATTCAAAGTATGGAAATAATTATGTATATAAAAATATAAATTCCATTTGTATAAAAATACATACAATTTATCTACATATATATAAAAGTAAGTCGGGTTTTCCTTCCTGATGAAATAACTCTAGAACGCACGAACCGATTTCGACAATTTTCCATTTATTGGAAAGGTCTCGGGCTCCGCAAAGTTTATAGCTAAGAAAATTAGTTGTGCATGGCATCGTGCCTTAACGCAAGCTGCTGGAACTTCACGTACCGTAATTAAAAACTCTAGTAATGACATGAGTGAGAATTATCAAAATTATGCTTGGTTAAGTCAAGGAGCAATTCTTGCCGCAAAGATTAATGATGTACACGCACTGAATTTCACCATTCAATCAAAAATTGCTGGCGATTTGGTGACATACCAATGATTCCGACTGGTCTTCCGTTTGACTTCAAACGATTGCAATTTCCAGTTTGCTTAGTGTTTGCGGGATAAATTTCAAATTATGCGGGATTATTTAGAAAATCATTGTTTTTCACATGGGCAGTTATACGTTGCCTGTTCACGAATTAGAAAACCATCCGCTTTGTTTGTGTTAACGTCAGACTAAAAAACAAAAAATGTGGTTTATCAAAGAGCACTTCAATGAAACAGAAAATTTGCGGATTCACTTTCATTTACTTAAAGAAGTTCAACTAAAAAATACTTTATTTTTGTAATCGAAATAAATTCATTACTGTTGTGCAATAAAATCAAATTTTTCCTTTTTAAATATAAAACAAACCAAAAATTTCTACATCTTTCTCACGAAACCATCTGGTGGGGAAACGGAGTTTGTCGGGTTTGCTAGTTGATTATAAAATTTCATGATATAAAAGGGACAAGTGATTTTGTTTCTGTTTCAATTACCAAGCTTGCTTTATTCCCCACAAAAGTATAAAAAAATCAAATTTTTCAGAAAAAGGTCAAGTTTTTTTTAAAAAAAAAGTCATTTTTTTTTAAATTTCAAAATTCTAAAAAATCATTTTGTTTGAAGATTTAAAAAAAAAATTTTTTCCAAACAATTTAATTTTTGGTGTGTGAAGTCCCAGCAATTTGCCTTAAGGCACGTTGCCGCCATACACCACTAGTTTCATTATTCATAATTATGAACAAAACTAGACGAAACTCGTATTAAGGTTGTATTCTAAGTCATGGTCACTCCAAATCCTGACAAATTCTACTACCCTCCACCTCTTCTCCAACTTCTACTAACCAAGTTACACTTACACTGATCAGTTTAGAGTTAGTCGGAACGTTCTTTGGGAATTGGAAAGTTTTTTCCTCTACTTCCTACTTCCAAATTTCTGCTAAAATCCTCCTCTTTCCTATTCTTCTCGCTAAAATCTAATTTGTCACTTACTGGATTTCGCGCTAAACTCAAATTCACTTGCGAATTGTGTAAATGTGATTTCGTGATTTTCGACGAAAGGAAACTAGATAGACGAGATCAACGGGGCGACAAATTTTTAGAAAGTTAGGAAAGAAAAAAAATGTCACAGGGAAATGGGAAATAGAAAAATGTTTGTGAGATTCAGAGAGATTATATAGCTTCATTAGAAAACTAATCAGAAAGATTATTAGATCATCATAATAATCCAAATTAGATTTGGGTGAGAAGAATAAAAGGATTTTAGCAGAAATTAGGAAGTAAAAAGTGGAAAGCAAACTGCGTATTAATTTTGATATTTTTGAAAGCTGATAGAAGTGCAAGGCTTGGGCATCATAGTACAAATTTTTAGAATAATTTATTTCTTAGAAATGCGAATTGTATAATTTGTATTATCAAATTTAAAACATTACATTACTTGAATTATTTTGACAATAAAATCGTTCTTCAATCAAATTGGAGTTCCTCAAGGACTCGAATTAAGGCCGAAAATAATACGATATTATAATTAAAACTAATTTGTACGATATATATATATATATATATATACATATATACAAAGTCCATTTACAATATTTCGATCGAAATGTTAAAATCGAATTAAACTCTGAACGTGGATTTGAATCGAATTCGCTCAAAATTCAGTTTTCGAACTAAAATTGATTTCGTTCGCAATTCGATGTCGAATGAGTTATTTAATCGAATTTAATTTATAGCTAACGTTAAATTAGCTTTAAACTGAAACTTTTGCTAAAACAGTTTCAATTTAATAACGAACGAATGCACTTCGGTGCGGTTTGGTACATCGAAACTGTAATTCGATATATATATATATATATATATATATATATATATACACCTAAGTCTGTTTTTACACGGTAGATTGGTTCCAGAAGAAGCCGCGTAAAAAAAAAAACGTGTAAAAAAAGACATTGATCTTATACAAAAATGGGTGATTTATTCCTAATCTCTAAAACCTATTAAAATTAGTGAAAAACAAGAATTTTTAAGAACAAGAATTCATGTTTATTTTATTAAATCTTTAAGCTAGTGTTCGCAAACTATCGATACTATCGATGGTTTCAGACTTTTTTCCTTCATAAATAGTTACTTTTTTGTGATATGAACATACTTCGCAAAAATTAAATTTGACAAAAAAAATTTAAGTACATAAAATTTCAAATCGTGCTAAATGGAATAAAATCGTGTAAAAAAATTAAAAATATTCAATTTTCAAACCGTGTTATATCAAAACCGTGTACAAAAAGACCGTGTAAAAACAGACTTAGGTGTATATATATATATAATAAAAGATTGAGGGCGGGTGGAGAGGTGTGCACACAAATGACAAATACTCAGAATTCCTCCAACAATAATGACATAGAATTATCGTTTGATATCGTTTCGAGAACACAATAGAATTAAAGGATATCGATTTAAATTACATGTATCAACATCGATAAAGAATAATAATGACGACATCGATGTAGATAGATGTGACATGTGACGACATCGTAATGATATGAAATAATTTTTATAACTTTAAATTACTTTATTTTATATATTTATTTTATTATGAAATATTTGGCAGTGGATGCACTGAAAATAAGTCAAATAAGGACTCGAAACGTAGGAAAGGTTTATCCATTTTATTAATAGTTGGTTTATTGCACAATGGAATGACACAGTACGATTTTATTATGAAATATATATATATATATATATATATATATATATATATATATATATATACATATCATTTCGAACAATGGCACATTTATAAAATGACACCATATCGAATCTTAAATTGATTTCACGATTTGTGACAATGGACACATTAGCAGCATTTATTTACGTTTCTTTATTGAATTCAATTTTACTGTATATATAATTTAGCAATCAATTTTTAAGTAAAAAAACACACAATTTTTCTATTCATAATTTCTTGAAACTGCAATATTTTTTGTTGTTTAAAGTGTTCATTATTTATTTAAAAAATGTATTTTTTAGTTCATCAAATATGCTTTTCATTTTTTTCAATTTCAATTTGTTTCAATTTCAATTTGTAGTCTTGGTTTGAAACCTTGAGGAACTCCCATTTAATTTAAAAAGAAAATTCAAACGTTTATCGTCAAAATAATCTAAGATACGTAATTTCTAAACCTGATATTATGCACTATTCTAATATATAAAAAAAATATGATTTTTAAAATTATGTTCTTGTAACATCTTTTAAAAAATGTGAATGAAGTAAAAATTGTTGGGGAAAAAACTAAATGGCTACTTAAAAATGAAATAAACTTTTTTTGCAAAAAGTACATATATAATTTTTTTAAAAATGTAGACTAAGGTATGTTGTATTTGTCAAATCAAATTTTCCAAAAATCGCTTTGAGTTTATATTTTCAACGCATTTTGAACGAAATTGGCTTAACCTAAACTTGCCCTAAGTTCTAGAAATTAAAAAAAAACTAGTGGTGTATCGTGCCTTAAAGCAAATTACAGGAACTTCCCTAGAACGGTAAAGAAAGATTCGAAGAATATTCAATGTTTTCAAATAGATTATTATAAATACTTTAACTTTTATTAATCTTTTTGGGCCAAAAAATATTTTTGTAAATTAAAAAAAAAATGAAACAAATTCTTTCACCAAAAGCAATCGTTTCGTCAACATAAGCAGAAAGTTTTTTGAATCATTCAAATCGGATACTTAGTTTTCTCAAAACCTGCCATTTTTTGCACATTTAACTTTGTATCTCCGAAACGGCTGGACCTACCATTGCCAAAAACTAATAAACACGTCTCCTTATCAATAGGAATCGAATGTTTTTTTAATTGTCCAAATCAGTTTATCCGTGTTCGCAAAATCCTCGACAAAAATTTGTATCCGAACACACACATACATCCGTTTTGTTCAGAAGGTATGCCAAAATGTTCAGAAACCTTAGAAACGTAAAGATATATAAAAATTTTCATTTTAGATTGTTCTGCGATTACTATAATTTACCCTACTGGAAGTTAAAAATGTAGCTTAAAGCATGTTCTAATTTTCAAATAAAATTTGGAAAAATCCCATTTGAGTTTTATATTTTGTAGGCGTTTCAAACGAAATTGGCTCAACCTTAAGGTTCTAGAAATAAAAAAACATTGATAATACTATTTTTACTAATTTGATGTTTCAAAAAAAAATTAACACTATTTTTATTTTCCAGACACGAGTTACTCCTATCACCCTGCGATTCACGACGACTCGTTCGTCAGACGAAAACAACGTCGAAACCGGACGACGTTTACACTACAACAGGTAAAAAAAAAAATACTCTTATATAAATAATCTATAAGATTTTTTTTGCTAATTTTTGCAATATTTTCCAGTTAGAAGAATTAGAAACGGCCTTCGCCCAGACACATTATCCGGACGTCTTCACACGAGAAGACTTGGCCATGAAAATTAATCTGACGGAAGCAAGAGTACAGGTTAGTACTAACTTAAAAAAGGTACACAGACAGAGGAATCTCTAATTGGAAAAAATAATAGGGCACAATCAGACCTTAGAACAATTTTTTGATGTGATTGATAAAAGGAAACAGAGTAAGTAAATTCAGCAAAACTTATAAAATCACCATTTTTTCTTTATACAAATCAATATTGTATTGCACATGTATATATATATATATATATATATATATATATATATATATATGAGTATATTCGCTGACAGCTAATCTCATAATCTGATTCGAATCTGGCCCTTAATCCCCTCAACGAATGTCAGTTTCATAAAACAACTTTTCGTACGACTGACAGCCCGCGTTCGCACTCTCTCTCTCACTTTCACTCGCGCACTCGTGCCCATCGCTCCGTCCCTCTCGCACCGACCGGCGATAGAGGTAATTCAATATTTTTCTAATAATCTTCTCCTCACTTTCTGCAGAAAATGATAATTATGGTTTTGGGGGGATGGATTGGTCTATGCTCCACTTAGATCAATACGTCGAAAGTTAGACAGAGGGGTTGATCGAATCGACTATAAAATTCTTGATTTTGCCAAAAACTGATAGATGATATCTTGGAAGCACTTTTTGAATTTTCAAAATGAATTCAGTGGATGAAAACTTTTGCACTTTTTTGTTAATTATTTTAGTTACCAAAAAATAAAGGACTTATATTTTTCATTTGGGGAAAAAAAGGAGTCGAGGGAAAGAATGGCGAAGGGAAAAAATAGTTCTGCATGATGTTTTTTTTAAATTAATATATAGCAGTTCCCAAAAAGAGTGACGACTTTATGAGCTCTGTTATGACAGAATTGCCCCATGAGATTGCTAACCTAGGTGTGTCCAAAACAAGTCAAGGCAGTAGCAAAAATAGCAATATAAAGAACCAAAAATGACCAAAATAGCAATATAAAGAACGTTGAAGGAAACAAATTTTCACAGAGTGACATTAAAATTGCTAACATAGGCATGTCTATAACAAGTCAAGGCAGTAGTCGAAGACGTTGAAAAAAGTTACTAAAGTCAGCTACAAATTTCTTAAAATAGTATTCTGATCATGACTACTTTATTATAGTCAGATGTAGAGCTGGTCCCAGAATTAGTAAATTATAATTTTTGACCTAGGTATCTCCACAACAGGTCAATGCATCAAGACAACAGGTGAAAAGATGGTAAATTTAGAAATTTAGAAATTGTATGGAAAAGAACTTGGGTCAACTATAAATGCTGACCAAAAATAGCAATATAAGAAACGGTGAAGGAAACAAATTCTCTGCATGACTATTTTTTTCTAGAATCAAATATAATGCAATCCCAAAGAGAGTGACATTAAAATTGCTAACCTAGGCAGTTACTAAAGTCAGATATCAATTTTCTAAAATAGTATTCTGATCATGACTACTTTACTAGTCAGGTAAGCAGTTTTCAGAGGTATTAAATTATAATTTTTGACCTAAGTATCTTCACATCAAGGCAGCAGATAAAAAATAAGGAAAAATTAGAATATGGGTGGAAAAAAAACTTGGACAGTCTCAAGAGAATGAGGGTCAACTATAAATGCTGACCAAAAATAGCAATATAAGGAACAGTGAAGAAAAACAAATTTTCAGAGAGTGACATTAAAATTGCTAACTTAGGCATGTCCATAACAAGTCGAGGCAGTAGTCGAGGACGTTGAAAAAAGTTAATAAAGTCAGCTACAAAGCAGTTCCTAAAATAGTATTCTGATTATGACTACTTTACTAGAGTCGGGTGTCAAGCTAGTCCCAGAAATAGTAAATTATAATTTTTTACCTAAGTATCTTCACATCAAGACAACAGGTGAAAAATAAGGAAAATTTAGAAATTGGTTGGAAAAGTATTTGGACAGTGTCCAAAAAATGAGAGTCAACTATAAATACTGACCAAAAAAATGCAATATCAGGGACGTTGAAGAAAACAAATTTTCAGAGAGTGACATTAAAATTGCTAACTTAGGCATGTCTATAACAAAATAAGGCAGTAGTCGAAGACGCTGAAAAAAGTTACAAAAGACAGCTATAAATTTCCTAAAATAGTCTTCTGATCATGTCTACTTCACTAGGTAAACTTAACTTCAAAGCCAGGTGGCTAGTAAAATAGTCATGATTACAAATAATTTTTTCAACATCCCCATCTACTGCCTTGACAATTGACTTGTTTTGGACTTGCCTAGGTCAGCAATCTGAATATCACTATTCTTGGAACAATTTTTATTCTTTACCGATCCATTCCTCTTCCTCCACCGACGACCCTAATTTATTAACAAGGGTTATGTATGTATACATTTACACATTTACACGGCCTGTAATCCCGCACAACAGATGTGCCACTCGATTCGACTCGACTCCTTGTTGTTGACTCAACCCTGAAAGGAAACCCTTAAAGGTAGGGGAACAATGTGCAAATTGCGGTGGAATATGCTTTATTGCCCTTATTGAGAATTAAGGATCAGAAGTAATAAATGGAGATGGGTGGGTAATAGATAACAAGATTTGGTGGTATAATTTATTAATATTTGCATTATCTCAGGTCCTGTATTTTTGGTATCCTATCCCTAACAACGCCTAAACAATATTGTTTCCGCAATTTCACTCATCATGTAATAATTGTGTTTGAAGAACTTCATGTAATTAAAATTAACATACATTCATTGACTGCTTGTATTTTTTTATTACTTTTTCGCTGGCGATATAATCTCATTCTTTGAACAGCTGTAATATCTGTCTTGCCTAAAAAATATTTTCCATTTTAATACTTCAAAGATTATAGAAACTACAAGTCCAATTTTGAATTTAGTTTTAGTTTTGCTCGTCAGTAGAGACCCTTTTTAATGTTATTTTTAGATTGCTCGTCAGTAGAGTCCCTTTTACCTTTAATTTTAATTTAATCATCAGTAGAGTCTGTTTGAATTTATTTTTATTTGCTCGTCAGTAGAGTCTCCTTCCCATTTTAATTTTAGTTTGGTCGTCAGTAGAGTCCCTTTTCCTTTAATTTTTAGTTAGCTCGTCAGTAGAGTCTCATTTTAATTTAATTATCAATAGAGTTTATTTTTTTTTTTATTTTTAATTTTGCTCGTCAGTAGAGTCCCTTTTTAATGTTATTTTCAAATTGCTCGTCAGTGGAGTCCCTTTTTAATTTATTTTAGATTGCTCGTCAGTAGAGTCCATTTTTCTTTAATTTTAATTTAATCATCAGTAGAGTCTATTTGAATTTTATTATTTTGCCCGTCAGTAGAGTCCCCTTCCCTTTTCATTTTTAGTATGGTCGTCAGTAGAGTCCATTTTCTTTAATTTTTAGTTTGGTCGTCAGTAGAGTCGCATTTTCTTACATTTTAATTTATTATCAATAGGGTTTATTTTCTTTTATTTTTAGTTTTGCTCGTCAGTAGAGTCCCTTTTTAATGTTATTTTTAGATTGCTCGTCAGTGGAGTCCCTTTTTAATTCTATTTTTAGATTGCTCGTCAGTAGAGTCCATTTTACCTTTAATTTTAATTTAATCATCAGTAGAGTCTATTTTTAATTTTATTTTTATTTTGCTCGTCAGTAGGGTCCCCTTCCCTTTTTCATTTTTAGTTTGCTCGTCAGTAGAGTCCCTTTTCCTTTAATTTTTAGTTTGATCGTCAGTAGAGTCTCATTTTCTTCCATTTTTAACAGTGGAGTTTATTTTTCTTTCATTTTTAGTTTTACTCGTCAGCATAGAGTCACTTTTTAATTTTATTTTTAGTATGCTCGTCAGAAGAGTCCCTTTCAGTATGCTCGTCAGTATAGTCCCTTTTACCTTTAATTTTAATTTAATCATCAGTAGAGTCTCTTTGAATTTTATTTTTATTTTGTTCGTCAGTAGAGTCCTCCTCGCTTTTTCATTTTAGTTTGGTCGTCAGTAGTTCCTTTTTATTTACGAATAATATAGAAATAATTTCTAATCAATAAACTTACGTTTAGTACACGGCACAAATGTTTAATTTGTTTTAATATTTTCAAGAACAGGGTAAAATATTCTTCTGATTTTGGGCATTTTTCATTAAATCAAGATTTGTACTAAGATGTAACTTAAAATGTTTATTTCGATATGCCGATTTTTTTGTTGATATCGATTACATGAACTTACCCCCTTGACATTCGATACCGCAATTTTTTCCCTTTCCCTTCGAAAGAAAATCCGATATAGTGGAATGCCAACTGTTACTGTTACCATCCTTAAAAAACCTTAAGCCCTTCTCCTCATATCCTTTTTATCCCAGGACATTATTTTTT